GATTGAAATGATCATATGGTTTTTATCTTTCTGTTAATATGGTGTATTACATATATAGTTTAGAATATGTCAAATCATCCTTGCATCCCTGGAATAATGCCTACCTGGTTGTGATGAATAATATATTTATATGCTGTTGGATACAGCTTGCAAGTATCCTGTTGAGAATTTTTGCATCTATATTCATCTGAGATAAAGCTTTGTAATTTTCCTTTTTTGTTGTATACTTATCCATTTTGGAAATGAAGGTTATGGTGACTTCATAGAATGACTTTGGAAGGGTTCCTCCCTTCTGGATCACTAGAAATAGTTTGAGTAGAATGGGGGTCACCTCTTATTTTAAAGTTTTGTAAAATTACCCAGTGAAGCCATCAGGACCAGGACATTTCTTTGTTGAGATGTTATTTATTATTGATTTAAACTAATTTCTTTCTATAGGTCTATTCAGGCTTTCTATGTGTCTCTGAGTCAATATCGGTAGATTATATGTGTCCAAGGATTTCTCTGTCTCATCCAGATTTCTTCTTTGTGGGTGTACAGTCGCTCATAGAATCTTTAAATAACGTTTTGTATTTCTACTATGTCTGATGTAATGATGCCTGATTTATTGGCAGTTTGAGTTATCTGGTTCCTTTCTTTCTTCCTCTTAACTAGTCTAGCTAATGGTGTGTCAATCTTGTTAATCTTTTTAGAGAACCAGCTCTTTCTTTCATTTAAATTATGTACAGTTTGCTTTTGTTCTATTTCATTTATTTCTGCTTGAATATTATTTATTTACTCCTGGCATGTTTTTTTGTGATTTTCCCCCCAATTCCCTGAGGCATGATGTTAACTTGTCCTTTTGCCACCTTTCAATCTTTTTCTTGTGTACACTAATTGCTATGTACTTCCCTCTTATGGCTGCTTTTGCAGTGTCCCATGAGTTATGGAAGTTTGTGCACTCATTATTGTTTGTTTCTATGAATCCTTTGATTTCAGTCTTAATCTCTTGAGTAGTCATGAAGTCATTAGGAAACAAGTTTAGTTTTCATGTACTTGTTTGTTTTCAAGGGTTTCTCCTGAGAATCATATCAATTTTAATTCCACCATGGTAGGAGAAGATGCAGAATATAATTTCTACGCCTTTGAATCTGTAAAGGCTGGTTTTGTGCCCTATCATATGGTCAGTCTTTGAGAAGGTACCATGCAGGGCTGAGAAAAATGTATATATTGTGGTTTAGGGGTGGAAGTTCTATAGATGTCTGTCAAGTCCATCTGATTTATGGTATGATTTAGGTCCTAAATCACTTTGCTCATTTTTTCTGGTTGATTGTCTAAAGGAGAGAATGGGATGTTGAGATCTCCAACAATTAGTGTGTTACAGTCTATCTCTACGTCTTTTAATCTAGTAGTCATTCTTTTACATATTTGGGTGCTCCTGAGTTGGATACATAGATATTTATAAGCATTATATTTTTTGATGAATTAGCCCTTTTACTACTATGTAATGCCATTCTTTGTCTCCTTTTATGATTTTTCTCTTAAAGTCTATTTTGTATGAAATTAGGATAGTGATTCCTGTTTATTGTTGGTTTCTCTTAGGAGGGCATATCTTTTTTCCAGCCCTGCACTTTTAATCTACAAATGTCTTTATCCATGAGTTGGGTTTCCTGTAGGCAGCAGATGGAGGATTTCTAATTTTTAATCCATTCAGCCAATCTATGTCTCCTGACTTGAGATTTCAAGCCATTAACCTTCAACATTATTATCGATTTTTCTAGACCCATGTCTACCATTATGCTGGCCACATTCTTGCTTTTGTTCTCTTATTGCTGTCAGTCTTTACTTTTCTTAGTATATGTACTCTTTTCAGAACTTCTTGAAGACCTGGTCTGGAGTTGGTAAATTCTTTCAGGTTTTGTTGATCTGAGAATGTTTTTGTCTTCTTTTTCCATATGGAGGGTAACATTGCTGGGCATTTTGGTTAAAATTGTTTTTCATTTGATACTTTGAATATATTTCCCCATTCTTTCCTAGCTTGCATTGTATCCAATGAGAGGTCCGGCATTAGCTTGATGGGATATCCTTTGTAAATGGCTTTATGTTTCTCTCTTTTCAATCTTAGTATCTTGCTTTTGTCTGTGGTTTTGGTCAATTTAGCTATGATGTGTCGTGGAGACGATTTTCTGGGATTGATTCTATTTGGGGTTCTTTGTATTTCTTGGATCTAAATATTTGAGTGACTCTCTAGATTTGGAAAGTTCTTTTTCTGGGTTTCGTGGAATAGATTATCTATGCCCATATTAGTTTCCTCACCTTCTGGGATACCAATTATTTAGATGTTTGGGTGTTTCATGGTATGTAGTATTTGTCATGTATTACCCAGTTTTCTTGGTTGATGTCTCTGTATATATTATCATTTTTTTCCAGGTCAGGTTTTGTTTTCTACATCTGAGATTTGATGTTCTGCATGGCCTAACATAATTTTTTTCCTAATGAATTATTTTATTTAACTTTATTTATTTTAATTTGACCAGGGAGAGGCAGAGTGAGTGAGTGAGAGAGAGAGAGAGAGAGAGACAATGCCACCAGGTCCAGGACTTGAACCATGGTCAGTCATGTGGGAGTCCAGCGTCCTTAGGCACCACACCACCTACTAGCCCCTACCTGCTTTTAATACTTTTGAGTGAGGTTTTGATTTCCTGTATTACAGCCTTCATATATTATTGTTCCATCTTATGCCTTTTTATAGTGTCCAATTCTTCTTTCATATCATGGAAAGACTTCTTTATCTCTTGGA